TAATAATAGATATAGATATAATATTAATTTATATCATTTTTAATAATGATATATATCATTTACTTATAAACGTTATTAAAACATATGATTTGAAATATAATTTAAAGAAGAAATATTATATATATTTTTTAAAAAAAATGGGATATGAAGATGTTGATCGGAAAAATTATAGCTTCAATAATAAAGGTCATTAAAACACATGCATTTGGATATTAGATATCATAAATAATTAGAAAAAAAAAAAAAAGGAAAAAGGTTTCTTTAGCCATTTCGCATTTAACCGACACCTTTTTTTACCTTTTCCTTTTTATTTTCTATTTTATTTATTTTGTCATTTCCTTTTATTTATTTTATTAACTAAAAAAAAAAAAAAAAAAACCTTAACTGCCATGTCACGACAACTTAAAAATCCGGTTCATTTTTCATTTTTTTATTTTTTTTTATTTTTCGATGTATCACATGAGATCAACCCAATTGCGGTCCCACTATTTCTTTAGCCACCCACCACAAGACATCACTGCAGTTTAAATAGTTGTGGTCCTCATCCTTAGACAAATCACCGCAATTTTGCATATGCGGTCCCACTTGTTTTAAACCTATACAGCAGTTTACTTAAAAAAGATTACATTCCCCAATTTCATTTTCTATGCCGGAGACCTTCCCTATACCGAAGTTTCATTTTTGACACCTGCACTTCGGCCCATACCGTAGTGTAGCCACTCCTACAACGAAGCCTTTACCCACCATTTACTCTCCGGTCCCCACTTCCGTATTTGCACCGGAGACTTTACAATTCCACTCCCCGCAGACAATAATACCGCAGACCCAAAAAAAAAAGAAAAAAACATACGGCGTTAGCCCATTTATACCGAAGTTTCATTTTCAGCCCTGCACTTCGGTATATACAGCAGACCCCATCCCCTTTCACCGAGGAGTTCACCATTTAGCCCCTTTTCACTGCAGTTAACCTTTTAGCCCCTCAACTTCGCAAGTTTTGACCTCTATTACCATTTTTTTTAACCAAATTTTCAGCCCATTTTTTTTAACACTCATTTATTTTTATTAATATGAATTTAACTTTTTATTTAACACCCATTATTTTATTTAACACTCATTTATTACGCCATTTTTTTTTTCATTTGCTAAAACCCTAGACAACAAATACCTTAGAATTTTTTTATCTTTTTACACCAATTTTTTTATTAATATCAATTTTTTTAACCAATTTTTTTAATACTAATTTTTGCCACAACCCAACCTATGATAGTCACATTGGATTACTTCTTGCTGATTATATTGGAAGAATTTTATTCTTTCCATGAGGATTACTCTATACCACGGTCAGACATCATATTTTTCTTCGCGAGGATTACACCGGAGTTGTGTTTGATCAGCAAATTTGCTTCCCAACTTTCCCTTTACGAGATTTTTAATACTTGTCGCTCTTGATCTTCGGTTGACGAACCTTGTATCTTGAGCATGTGGACTTTATTTATTGAAGACCACTTCAAGAGTTCTGGCACTGCAGTTTGAGTACATCAGTATTTTTCAGCACAACATAGATTTTTCACACAAAGTTCTTATTGTTACTTTAGTATTTGTTCAAGCAGTTTTTAGTGACAGGACCAACCAGCTACAGATGACCGGAGAGTATTTATTTTACTCTCATTATCATGTTTTATCGAGACCCTTCTACATCTAGGGAGTGCTTGCATAGCTATTGGTATCCGACACTCTCCATCCTGATGATTTGTTTATTTTTGATATTCGGTCATTGGTTATCAAAAATAGGGAGAGAATATTATGTTATCATCCAGATATGTTTTTATGATTGTTTGAGTTTGGATTTTCGAGACTTCTGAAGATGATGATTTATTTAGTGATGCGATGTGACACTGATTTTTGGTCATCTTGATAAAATTTTTGGCTTCACTAGATGTTTCCCGGATCAATATTATTTATTATTCAGATTCTAGCATATGATATTTCAATTGTGTTTGAATCCGGTTCAAATCTTATGATTTCTCGAGTTTAGATTTGTGATATTTTGAAGACGAGGATTATTTTGGCGATGTGACATGACGCTTATTTTGGGTCTTCCGATCAAATTTTTGGCATTGCTAAACCATGTCTTTAGACTCACATTATTTATTATTCGGACTTCACTTTTGGATGCTTCACATTTTTAGTAGGTTATTCTTTTGAAGAATTTTGGGTGTATTATGATTCAAGAACTAGAGATGTTTCAGACTACATGAAGCCGAAGTTTTTTCTGATTGGATCTTCTACTTGATCATGGGGCTTATGACGAGTTTGATGAATTGGATCTTATTTTTCTGCTCAATAGTGGTGACCTTGAAGTCGAAGGCCTTTACTGATTAGAGATTCATGGTCAACATAAGAGATCACAGACACTTCAGAGTTTCAGAGACATTTCAGCATTTGGTTCTCATTATGTTTCATATTATTACCACACTTACTATTCGGTTAATGTGTAGTTTAGCCTATTATCACTTATTTGTATCCCTCATTATTTGCGAGCATTTAGGGAAAGAATGTTGGAGCATGGAAATGCTCTACAAATTATGAGTGATAGTTAGGTTATTTTATTCCATTTATTGTATTGTAAGAATCCTCTCTCTATAAATATAGAGGAGTGGTCATTATTGTAAGTAAGAGTGCACCACAATGTTGTTTCTAGTGAGAGAGAGTGTGGTGGGATCTCTCCCACCAAGGTAGAGTTATCTCTCCTAATCCATGTTCTTCATGTAATATTGTATTTCTCCTTTTCTAGTAAAATCATGGAATTACTCATATCTTTTATTTTCTTCATATTATAAGGTGTGACATCCCCAAAATCTCGGCCAGAAAAGACCGATTTCATTTATGCTTTTTAAAATAATTTTCAGAGTAAATCCTTTTAATTTTAAAAGAAATGCGGAATTTGTTCCCAAAAACATAGATATTTATCAAAACATTTCATAAAGAAATATGATTTCATTTCATAATCAAAAGTCGGGATGTCATGTTCCGATACAGATCATAAAGCATAAACGATAGCATTACAAGTTATTCAACAAATATATACATATACAGACTTGTAAACAAAACAACTTGATGTTCGCCCATCTTAAGCTCTTGCGCCACTTCCTGTAAAATAAATCAACTGAGTGGGTCAGGCTTGGGAGCCTGGTGAGCATATAGGGTTTTCAACCCACAATAATTATATTTAATTTCAACAATCAACAATAAACCCGATTACCCATTCCCGTTATCCTCACCTTACGTTCCTAAAAATAACGTCTATTATAAGGAACCTATTTCAGGATTTTTCATCGGGACGGACATCACTGCAGAGGGGCTTCCTCAACAATAAGTGTCCTAAAGGCAACCATGTGGGGGATAGAGTACACCGGTGAACACGTCGTTCACAACACCTACAGGTAATGAGCCTGCTAGTGTTCCACAGAATAGTCTAGAATAGTCCGTGGTCGTCATCCATACTCTGCTGAATGACTAGAATAACACCAATAACACCGAGGCCTCTCATCTGTTTATTACACACCAATTACCTACCCATGTTCTACCCAACATATTAGTAGATACCTGTCAATGAAGAAAAAGAGAAAGAAAATATTCGGTCGGGATCGATACCTATCAATGAAGGAAGAGAATCCTTTTAATTGTTGCAGTCTATAATAGTTTAAATCTCACAAATTAAGAAGTAGGCGAAGATGTCCGGCGATGATCTATATTCATAGATGGGAGAAAAGAAGTTCATCAGATCATTGTAGTTTGTAGGTCGGCACTTGACGATTAAGAAGCGGTGGTGTATGACGGTTCAATTCTTTGGTATTCAACTTCACGCCATCTACTCTTCTCGAAACCCATTCCACGCGCTGTACGCGCTCTTACAAAAATAAGGTTTTTGTATATAATAATGATATATATATATATATATATATATATATATATATATATATATATATATATATATATATATATATATATATATATATAATGGCATATTGAAAACAAATAAAATAGTTATTTTCCAAATTTAGTCTTTTATCCTCTTGCTTCTTTGTTCTTATACCATGTTCTGCTACTTGTTCACTTTCAGTCCTCATATTTCTCATTTCTTGGTAAACGCCAAAACTTAACATATATTTACACCTATAACTAGTCTTTAATTACATCTAGGAGAGTGCTACTAAGTCCAAGCAAGACTACCAAACAAGCTAATACACTATATCAACAAGACTTAAATTTACATGAGACAATAAATTCAAATAATTAGGAATCTTTTTGTGGTCTTCTTACTGATCACATAGTGACGGGGGTTAATCGGTGCATATAGTGGCAGAGATTGAGGGTGTGGCAGGGTATGTTGAATCCCTATGTTTTCATCTTTCATATTTTACTGTAACGTAACCCACATCATCCACCTCCTAAATATTTCATTTCATTTTTCAAATTGCGCACCCATTTTCATTTTTCACCAATTTTTTGTTTAATACAAATAATAAGTACTGAAGGAGTGTTTCTATGCAATGATGGCTAAATTAAAATTGATGATGAGGTATGCATAATCCTCAATACCCTTGAAGGTAAGCAAGAGCTAACGTAGCTAGAGTAGTCCAAGTGGGGCTAATACACACAAACCTTATTCAATGCATGAACATCTCATTTTTTTTCCCAAATGAATAAAGCTAAAAGATCGAGCTTCAAGAGAACGTTCCAAAAAAGGCTGGGCGTTCAATTTCCCTAAATATAGAGAATCAATTTAGTTATTAATTTAAAATAACATAGATAATGAGATTTCAATACAAATTTTATTTAATAAATGTGTTAAGGTTTCAATTTATTCCTAACACGTTGACAAACAAGATTCATGGATCATCGTTCAATAGCCGGTGTATATACATGAAAATTAATTTAAAAAGGATAGTAGCTAGTAAGATACTAACTAGCAGATCGACCAAAAACATAACAATTGCTTAAAACAAACCATGGCCATAGCCATAGCTATGGACGTGAGAAGAAGTACAAGATGCTGAAATGATGGGGTTAGGCTTCATCTCATAATACTCACCATCACCTCTAATAACATTATTAGTACCAAAAATTGGCACAGAGTTAGAATTCTCGAGGAACAGCTTATTGGCCTGTATAGAGATAGTCTTCTTGAGTTCCTCCATTGAATCCTTCAGTTGTTCAAGTTCATGGAGATTCAAGTCCTCAATAGGTGCTTCCCACCAGAACTGGTTCTGGCTAGCCTTTCGCATTTCATCAAGGGTCTCCCTTCTTTTCTTCTCAGCTTCTAACTCGTTCCTCATGTGCGTTTGCTGCAAATTTAGATCAGGAATGGAAGCTATCCTATGCGCCTCTACAAGATGTAAATTTGTAGGCATAGGATTAATTTGCTTTCGTGTCAGAAATCTATCAACAACCGAGTCAACTTTAGGATGCCCAAAGGAGTAAACTTTTCCAGCCGGAGAAAAGACCACGATAGCGATGTCAACCCCACACAATGTGCAAAGCTCGCTAGCCTTCTTAAACAGCCCTACTCGTCTCTTTGAGAAAGTCACTTGCAGATGAGATTTTTTCTGGATTTGTGCCATTTTAATCTTTTGGCGACCCAAACTTCTCTTTGGCGCCATATCTTAAGATCTTCAACTAGAAACTTGATTAAAATGGAGGGTCTTGGATACTAAAGTTTAGTGAAACATGCCTATTTATAGGTGATGAATAAGTATTAATTGTAGTCATTATTTGGGAGTTATAAAATCTTGGTTTTTAATACACGGATATCAGGACAATCAATTTCTTGTTGTCAACATCATTATGCAAACTATTTGACATTTGTCAGTTACAAAGTCAACACCCTGTATTTGTTGCATGCCAGACTGGATTTATTTAATAAGTTTAATTTTTTAGAACAGCATTTAAAAAAATATCGCAAATATGAAGGTAGAGAACAATTACAAGGAAAGAACCATAAAACGAGATAAACAAAAGTGAGAACCTAACTAGGTTTTTTTTTTCTTCCTTTTTTTTTTTTTTTTTTTTTTGGCTCTATGCTTAATCCATATATACAAGAGAAGAGGGTAAAAGGCCTTGACTTTACAGGTTAGATCAATAGTTGGTGATTATTTGGAAAATGCTTGTTTCAAAAGAAATCCTCCGTATATACTCACTAAAACTAGATCATAATATATATTGTAATTAATAATAAAAACCTTGCTAAATAGCTTCTGTCATGCAAAATTCAACTATTATATCTCGGCAAACTTCATGTGGTGATCAGTTTGCATGTTCCATGGACACTATAGACAATTTTTATTATTAATTATTATAAATTCTCTTTGGTTTTCATAAGTTGCTTAATACTCATTTTATGTCCAAATTATTTCTGAAAATTCTATGAAAAATGACTGGTGGAGTGCAAATATATCAGCACGTGTATTCTCAATACGACCTATACATAGTGCCTAATACTGTTTCTCATACATAAAGATATGGTTATTAATCGATCGAAAATGG